AAACAAAAGCAAAAATGATCTACTCTGGCTTCACGAAGATAAAGAGCCTTTGCATGACAAAGGAAACAGTCAACAAAACTAAAAGGCAACCAACAGAATGGAAGAAGATATTTGCAAATATCTTATCAGATAAAGGGCTAGTATCCAAGATCTTTAAAGAAATTATCAAACTCAACACCCAAAAAACAAAACAAAAAATCCAGTCAAGAAATGGGGAGAAGATATGAACAGACATTTCTTCAAAGAAGATCCAGATGGCCAACAGACAAATGAAAAAATGCTCAACATCACTTGGCATCAGGAAAACACAAATGAAAACCACGATGAGATAACACCTAACACCTGTCAGAATGGCTAAAATTAACAATTCAGGGAGTATGGGAGTATTACTCAGCCATCAAAAAGAATGAAATCTTGCCATTTGCAACCATGTGGCTGGAACTAGATGGCATTATATTAAGCAAAATAAGTCAGTCAGAGAATGACATATACCATGCGATTTCACTCATATGTGGAATTTAAGAAACGGATGAACATAGGGGAAGGGAAAGAAAAATAAGATAAAAGCAAGGAGGGAGGCAAATCATAAGAGACTCTTAACTATAAGGAACAAATAGTGTTGCTGGAGAGGATATGGGGTAACTGGGTGATGGACACTAAGGAGAGCACTTGATGTAATGGGTACGCAGTGTTATATGCAACTGGTGAATCACTAAACTCTACCTCTGGAACTAATAATACACTATATGTTAACCAAATTGAATTTAAATAAAGAATTTTTAAAAAAGACAAAATGATAAAAAGTCATTATTAGTAGTAAGGAAACTACAAAAGGGGATTTTTACATGGACCTGCTTTTTAGACCTAAGTGAAATGAGGGAAAGGAAGAATGTTGTGGAACATTTTGCTTAACATAAGGTAGTTTTTAAAAATTGTGTTTTATGTAAGTTCTGGTAATACTTATGGTGCCACCTCCCCAGTCTTTACCTTCCATTGAATGTGAAAGACAGATTACTACAGACACACACACATACACCCCAAACTAACTAGGTCAGTAAATCAGAACTGTTTTTTCATATGGATTCTTCACTAAGAAGGCTGTATTTTGATGAGATGTAGCAATACCCAGTCCTTTGGTTCCTGATTCTTCTAATGAACACACAAGTACTTGCACATAGTCTTAAAACAAAAGTGTTTAATAAATACATCCTGAAGCCTTTTATTTTATTTGTATTTATTTATTTTTAAAGAAAGATTTTATTTATTTATTTGACACAGAGATACACAGCAAGAGAGGGAACACAAGCAGGGAGAGTGGGAGAGGGAGAAGCAAGCTTCCTGCTGAGCAGGGAGCCTGATGTGGGGCTGGATCCAAGGACCCTGGGATCATGACCTGAGCTAGAGGCAGATGCCCAATGACTGAGCCACCCAGGTACCCCCTGAAGCCTTTTATTTACAATCCCCAGAAGTGCTAGCTGATTGAGGGTAGAATTTATGTCAGATCCTCTAAGCATCCTGAAAAGAAGAGCTGTTTACCTGGGAATGCTGTATTGTGAGTGCTAATCTAATTTTACTCTTGCTTCTCCTTCAGGTCCTATAGTAGGATGGCAACACCTTTCTCTCTATGGATTGGAACCACTATCTGCCTGTTTCCATGAATATTTTGATTCTTGTTTTAGATTAGTACTGACCAACAGAAATATGATGCAAATTGCATTTATATAACTTTCATATTTCTTTTAACCCAGTATCCAAAATATTATCTAATATATAGTCAGTATAAAATTGAGATATTTCCATTCTTTGTTTATATTAATTCTTTCAAAGCTGGTATTTTTTACACCTCAGTGCATGTTGGTTTGGAGTAGCCAGGTTTCAAGTGCTCCAGTGACTTGTGGTCAGTGCCTACTGTGTTTAGGAGTGCAGTTTGACCCTGTGATGATTCCCAAAGTTGCACATATTTCTCTACCGGAGAAGGTCTGTAAATGATACAGTGTGCTCTATTCTGCATGGAGATAACATGCTAGGGCATTTGTCCAAGGGAAAATCAATGGTATTAGGCTCTGCTCCTAGAAACAAATCATTATGACATAGATCAAACTGATTCAACTGGACTTTATCTCTGCAACAGATTGATGTGGAGCTGTCCTTCTGGAAATGCAGATGGCAGTGGTGGAGAGTACAAGAAATTGGCCCCTTGCAGTGTAGATAAGCTCCACTTGGGGGCCCTCTAGTCATGGTTGCATAGTCCCAGATTGTGATAATATAATATTGGAATCAGAACTCTTCAGTTCATGAATATGCGGTAAATTTTGGAAAGACAACTTTGAGTGCAAAATGAAAATAAGCCTTTCAAACACGTATCTAGTGTTTGTTTACACAATCTCAGCATGGCTTTTTTCTCAAGAGGTGTTATCCCTTTGCCTTGATAATGAGCTGGGGTAACTGGCAGACCAACCTCACTATTCTGCGTCAAGTCCATCAGTTTCCATGATCTCTAGATCCTTGTTTAGTCATATGGACACCTTTTCTGTACTACTTCTTCCTTCAAGGTGCTTGAGATCATGAAGGGGAAAAAAAACTTCTTTCCACTTAGGTTCCAGGGCGCTGAGAATGCAAATTATCCCACTTCCTCCTTCTTTTCCATTTTAAATTCATATTCAAGGGCCTAATGACAAATTTACCAACAGGCTCTTTTTGTCAGCTCCCAGGAGGCTCAGAGCCAAATTGGCAAGAGCCTAATGCACGAGGTCTAATGGCTTGGTTTTATAATCCTGCTCTCCTCTTGCTGAGCTTTTATCCCCTCTTCTAATTATTGTATTGTTTACTGTTTGTTAGAAGCCCTAAATCATTCTGGGAATGCAGTAGTGATGGTGTGTGTGTGTGTGTGTGTGTGTGTGTGTGTAAAAATAGTCTCTTCAGAGTTTGTCCTAACAACTGGATCTTTCATGTACTGACTCAGATACTAAGTGAAATTACTCCTTCTAACAGAAGTTGATGGGGGCATATTCTGTCCCTGGCTTCATCTTACATAGTGATGTGTGTAAGTCACACCATGCAAGTGCTGTACAGGGAGGAGTTTTCTATCACAGGACTTAACACACAAGAGAAACAAACACAGTGAATATTTGCCAAATTATGAAATTTTAAGGTTTTAGAAACCTCAAAAATACTTATTTTAAGGGCTGGCTCAGCCATTAATTGTGGGTGGCTTAGTTGTTAAGTGTCTGCCTTCGGCTCGGGCTTGTCCGTCTCCCACTCCCCCTGCTTATGTTCCCTCTCTTGCTGTCTCTATTAAAAAAATAAATAAAATCTTTTAAAAAAATACTTATTTTAGTTTGGAATAGTCACTTGAACTACAGAGTTTCGCTTGCTTTTTAAGAACCATAAACTACTTGTAGTCAGGACTTAATACTGTAGAGTACCTCTGTCAAAAATGGGATATGCCCGGGATGCCTGGGTGGCTCAGTTGGTTGGGCGGCTGCCTTTGGCTCAGGTCATGATCCCAGCGTCCTGGGATCGAGTCCCGCATCGGGCGCCTTGCTCATCAGGGAGCCTGCTTCTCCCTCTGCCTCTGCCTGCCATTCAGTCTGCCTGTGCTTGCTCTCTCTCCCTCTCTCTCTCTCTCTGACAAATAAATAAATAAAATCTTTAAAAAAAGAAATGGGATATGCCCATTCTTGACCTCTAATTATGTGACTCAATCTACCTGAACCAACATGAGCAAGAGCATAACCATGATCCTGGGCAAGTCACATCTGGGGAAGATAGTGACTGGAGTTCTTAAGATTTTACATTTTCAATGAAATCATAACCATTAGCATAGAGTCACATTGCAATCACATTTTCTTTTATAGTCATAAAGATTCTCTTTAAGCCCAAAACCTCCTCAATCAGAATTAATAAACCCTCTTTGGAAACATTTCATTCAACTCCAGATCTGCTTCACTTCTCAGGGCACCTGGGCACAAAATGACAAGTAGTCCTATTGGCATCATCCCAGTCTCGCCTTAGCTCTGCTCAGCATGCGGGCATGTGCTATGCCCAGGAGGGCAAGCTTACACTGCGGGACTGTGGGGAAGGCTCCAACTCCTAATCCCATCTTTGGCGTTTGCTGGACTTAATTTAACTAAGGTATCAGGCAATAGTATTGCCGTCGTAGAGGGAAGGGGATTGGGGGAGATGGACCAGGGTACATATCCAACCCGGAAGCACAGAGGCATCTGAAGGGGGTTGCTTGCGCCTGCGGCAAGATGGCATCACGCAGCCATCAGAACACATGGTCACAGGGCAGGGCTCAACAGGCTCTGTGGTTAGACCTACTTATTACCTACAGTAGAGAACAATGACTCACAACCAAACTTGGTTCTTGCTTCCTTGCAAAAGCATCCTTGAATATCCTGAGTTCAGGCTGATTTTTTTTTTTTTTTTTTCAGGAGGAAACCATGTGGCTGATGCATCAAGCTTTGAAATCAACCCAAGCCCAGTTACTCAGCAGCTAAAACCTCACCTCATTGCTCCAACTCCCTGGCTGGTGTCGGTTGAAGACATTTTAAATTTTCTTGGGACGCGGAAACTGGTGATGTGGAAAACAAAGCTACGAGGAACCCAAAGCAGTGCCAACCCAGTTACAGGGCATAGAAAGGTAACAGAAATTCCACACTCCTGTGTTCTGTCACCATGTGGCCCACTAGAATGGACTGTCGAGACTGAGGGCAAAGTGCCTGGTAGCTGACTTAAAATGCAGCTGTCAAGACCAGAGTATGTGTTGTTGCTTGAAATACCAATAGAGAAATTTTATATCCTCGATGAGTAAGCCAACATAAACCTTTTGGTTCCATTTTACTTGGATATCTATTGTGTGCACGAGTTACTTACGTGACTATATCCCCAAAATGATTTTGATGTTTTGCCATTTTTAACCCCTCAGGAAATCATTCAACACTGATCCAAAACTGCTTTGCCATAGATTTCATTGGGAAGGTCATTTAGATGCCAGAGAAGTTTCTAAAGTCACATTTATTGATGTGTAATTTACATTTAGCAAAACTCACCCCAAAATTTGACAAATGTAATCACCACCATGAACAAGATATAAAACATTTCCTCAAAACTCCCTCATGCTCCTTTGTAACCAGCCCCTCGCTGATCCTTAAGAATCCATGTCTCCTGTCAAAAGGATCAAATGTAATCATTAAAATGATCTATTATGGAAAAATTGATAAGCATATAAAACTAAGTTTTTTTTAAGATTTTATTTATTTATTTGATAGAGATCACAAGTAGGCAGAGAGGCAGGCAGAGAGAGAGAGAGAGAGAGAGAGAGAGAGAGAGAGAGAGGAAGAAGCAGACTCCCTGCTGAGCAGAGAGCCCAATGCGGGGCTCAATCCCAGGACCTTGAGATTGTGACCTGAGCCGAAGGCAGAGGCTTTAACCCACTGAACCACCCAGGTGGCCCTAAAACCAAGTTTTTAAGAGGCTGCTTTGAAATGTATCTTCAGGACTGTCAAAAGAATGAGATTTAAAAATAAGCTTTGCAAATTATAAAGCACAACTGACAAACTTGTCAAGATAGTGGTGTCAAGCTTTAGGCTGGGGATATTTGGCTGGTATAAATGGAACTATATTCTATAAAATTCTCTATGGGGCAGGTAGATTTTTTTTTTTAAGATTTTATTTATTTATTTGACAGAGCGAGATCACAAGTAGGCAGAGAGGCAGGCAGAGAGAGAGATGAGGAGAAGCAGGCTCCCTGCCAAGCAGAGAGCCCGATGTGGGACTCGATCCCAGGACCCTGAGATCATGACCTGAGCCGAAGGCAGAGGCTTAACCCACTGAGCCACCCAGGCACCCGCAGGTAGATGTTCTTAAAGCTATTTGGCACCTGCTCAAAATTTACCTCTGCTACTACCATGAAAGGGACAAAGGAAGGAAAAACATTTTATATATACACACACATATATTACCACATGTGCAAATACACGTTATCTACGTGAAAAGCTTCCTTCAGGCCAGCAGCCCTGTAAAAGAAGTATCACAGCAGGTAGTTAGAGCAGCAAGTACTAAATGTGCTAGTAAGAAATAACCAGTGGTTTCTACACCATGTTTAGAAAAATTTTCAAGTAAATAAATAGAACTCCCCAACATACTATACGTTGTCCACTGAGCAATGTTCTGATATAAAAGTGCATGCTTAACTCAAACCCTATTTTACTAAAGCTAACAATCTGCCTCAACCTTCTGGAAGACTCAAATGCAAAATGGCCACCACTGGAAAAGATACTTTCAAAGATTAAATGTCAAATACTTAAAAATCCACTTAAAAAAAAACCCATTTCTTGGCATAATAAAGTATTACCTATATACTAGAGGCTTTCCCCCTTTCTAATTAAAACATACTTTCAGCAGGGAGAAGGGATATGATCATGTAACTGTAACCAAGTCCTATTTTGTTGGCCTCAGGTAAATCCTTTAACCCATCAGAGAAGCATATCTAATCAGATTAGGGTTCTCATCCTTGGCCAAGAATTCCATTCAGCATTTAATAACTCAAGCCAAATTCTCTCCATTTGGTCCATACCTGAAGTTTGTCAACATCTTGAACTGGACTGAGCCTGGGAGAAAAGTGAGAAGAACAACATTAGGAATATCATGTCCCTTTTCATGGGTTGGGGCTTTTTGTTTTGTAGAGTGTCTTTAATTGTAGTTATCTACTAGCTACATTTGTTGAAGAAAAAGCTTCCTTTGATTAGAACTTCTGTAAAAAGGTGATATTCTCCAAAATTTCCTCACACTTGGGAACCTCCTTGGTAACATTCAGCCAGGAGTAAAATCAACAGTGAATTAAGTTCCTATCCTCTGGGATTCCACAGAATTCATGTCAGTGACAGCTTGATCTCTTTGTTACATTAGCCTGGAATAGTAGCAATTTTAGAAAAAAAGTAAATACTACTGGCAACAGTTTGTACCTAGGAAACACTGAAACAAACTCCAAACAGATTTAAAAACCAAAGGAAGCCTGGGACTTGTTTACCCAGAAGCAGAGAGCTAGCAAGTTGAGAACAGTCTCCAGCTCCTGTTCAGTTTCCACGATCCTTAAATAGATACTGGCTCAAGCTGCTGCTTCCTTGTCATGCTGCCTGGCTCTCTGGCCCATGTTTCTGTCTCAGATGGAAATGTTGAAACAGTTTGGCTCAAGAGGAAGCCCCAATACATAAAGCAATTGTAAACAAAGCTTGACCACTGTATTTGCTGGTGTGGCAGTGCTAGTCACCAGATGGGGGGATGCTGGGCAGGGAACCCTGGCCATGTGCTATGGACTCATATATATGGCTGCAAAAGGGTCCCTACAGCACAGCTTGCAAAACTACCCACCCCCCTCTAAAAGCATGATAAAATGGATGTCCCACTGGGTTTCCTAATCAGTAAAATTGAATTATTTTCTAATAAGTGCTAAAGCCTTTCATAACTCTAGGGCAAACATGTGAACCTCACAAGCCTCATATTTCAAGGGGAGATTCCTAAGTGATACCTAGGATATCTACAGCGAGTTCTTCATTCATTCAACTCTAAATTTAGATCTCTACAAAATTCGGAGACTAACCCTTTCTACAGCAAGGTGTGCCAATGTCTTAGTGGACACAAATCAGAACCCCAATGGTTCAGATTTTTTCCCCCAGGACAGAAGACCATGACTTTGGGGGAGAGCATTGCAGGCTCCTTGATGAGGGCTCACAGCAGTTACCAGGTTTGGCAAGACTCATCCCAGACCTTTGGAAAAGCCCAACTACCCTGCAAAGTGGCAACGCAAAGCCGTTTGTCGTGAGCGGCTGCGCGTGCGGAGTCCCCTCGGTTTGTGGCTGGCACTGTAACCACGCTGCTCTGCACGGAAACCGCAAGCGCTCAGATCCACGATCTCGCTCACTCTCCAAACTGGCAATGTCGGGAGTCATTGCCAAGAGCCGGCAGGCTGGAGTCCCGAGTGCGGCGGCAACGCGGACACCCAGCCGGCTCAGCTTCCCGGCCCCCAGCTGCGTTCTCCGATAGTTCTCTTTTCGTTGAAATAGGAGGTTGAAGCTTCTGTGGCCTGGAACCCTTGAGCATCGGGGCCACAGGCACGAGACGTGCGGGGACTGGGGGGTGTTTAGGCGCCGCGAGGGTGCTTCTCGGGGACCAGGGTCCCCGGATCCCCGAGGACGTGCCCATCTAAGAGGTGGTGCCCCCCGCCGGGGGCTCCTTCCCCGGGATCGGGGGGCCTTTCCCATGGGGCGCCTAGCTGAGGCCGAACCGGGGTCACAGACACCCGGACGGGGCGAGCACGGGGACAAGGAGGGAAGCGTCTAGTAAGTGCCACCAGAGAACCCCCCCCCCCCAACGTGGCCTGTTTCGGCGTTGAGCCGGCCGTAAGGTACTTACCGAGTCACGCGCCGTGGCGGAAAAGAGAGGGCGTTGGAGAGACCAAGTTTAAAAGGGGCCTGGGCGATCGGGCACCCTGCGGCAACCAACCAAAAAGTTACCCGAGCGCCCCTCCCGGCCCTGTACCCGCCCCGCTGGGGGTGCCCGGTGGCTCTCGCACTCCCCCTGCCGGCGCCCGGGGCTCGGAGCCTGCGGACTCTGGGGCACACCTGCCGGAACACCTCTCTGGGTGTGGTGTGCATCTACCTCGGGGCATATTAGATGAAATTCCTGGCATCAGATAATGTTAGGTACGTACACCCCCCCTCCCACCACCAAAGTATTCCATGTCTTCCCTCAGGGTGGTCTGCAAGCCACAGAAGCACGGCTGCCCAGGACCCGCTCTCTCCAGCCTTGTCCTTAACCTGCTTTTGGAATTTTGAGATTTGGAGCTTCCTAGAAACTGGGACACTTGAGATTATTTTGGTTGGAGGGAGTGTTTAGCGTGACAAGTATTTTCTGAGTGCCGACCATCCCAGGCAATGTGATTGGTGCTGGGGGAATAAAGTGGTATGAGAAACTGTACCTGCCCTCAAGGAATGGAAAGTGCCGTTCTCCTGGGCGATGGAAGCCCAAACAGTGTGCCAGGGGCACAGCCCGAACGACTGAGCCCAGCAAGCTAAGGGGTCAGGGAAAGCTCCTTGGAGGAGGAGTACCTGCAGTGAATCTAGAATCACCAGCAGGAAGCTCACCGCACATCAAATAGCCGAGAGGTAAAAATCAGAGATGGAGAGAATTAAAGTGGAATTCTAGAGTAGAAGGTACTTTATAGATCAGCTAGAATTTTCTCTGGTGGAGTAGAACCGGCCTTAGGGTGTTCCCCAAAAGCAGAGTTGTCATGGTGGTGGAATATAAGCACCATTAGGACTCTGTTTCCTTCTCTGCTGGCTCCCAGAACTCAATATAGTGCCTGGAATATGTTTGGGTAAGGATAAAATGACTGCAGAAAAAGATACTCACCATTTACCCCCCAACGTAGTTGAGTATTCACGCTATCAAAGTCTCAGAGGCTCATAATGGTGGCAGTGATGGGGACTTATCCCAGGCTGTAACTTTCCTGGGTCACCTTGAGTATGAATTTATCCCTGCAGTACCTGGCCGAGGCCTTGGTGCACGGTAAGGACTTGAAAAAACCTGCTGGATTTCCTTTCTTGGTCTGCCTCTCACTGTGCCTCTCTGCCTGCAGAGAAGGCATCCTGGGGCCTGAGGAGGTATTAGGCATTTCTCTGGCTAGTTTTGCTGCTGCTAGAGGGGAACTTTACCCTGCCCCCTCCACCACCACCTTTCTCTTTGAAGGAACTTCTGCTAGATAATGCCTCTGCCCACCATTTCCCCATGGCCTTCTAGAAGAGGAAAGAATTTCAATAAAATCCAATGCTAACATGAATTTTGAGAGCATGCAATCCAAGGTAGGCTTGTGACCGTCCATTCTCCACCTGCCCCCTCTTCTCAATAGAAGAGGATAAGATTATCTTCTCTGATGAGAGGGGGATGGGTGGGAAGAAGGGACCACGTGGAAGCCATTGAGGGTTTTCTTGGTTCAGTACACAGTTGGGTACATTGTAAGTGTCATTACCTTTATCTCTGTGGCTTCCTGATAGTCCTAACTAAATGAAATATAGTATTTTTCATTAACTGCAAAAACATGATCCTGCATTTTACTCTTTTAAAATTTTGGGCTCCCAAGTACATCATGGTGGGTGACAGCCAATGGCTCATCTTCCTCAAAGAAGAGCAAATCCACTGGAAGGCTATAAACTGAGGATTCCTGTTCTCTTGCTTCCCTCACTGCACAGGATCAGTGTAAGGCTATGGTGACTCACGGTCTAGACTGGGATGGGACTAGAACAGACTGAACTCCGAGGATACAGTGTTACCAGTAGTAAAGCAAACACTTCAATTTCCATTTTGTGTTTTACCTCTGTGTTGGTTTTGGATGTGGAAGGGAAAGATAGCACATTGTTTATCACCTTCCTCCAAACCCTGCTGTTGCCCAGTCCCTATACCCAGGAGATCCTAGCACTCATTTGTTCTCAATGAACTGACATCAGACACAGATCTAGGGCATTTTCTTTCATGAATTAATTGGCCTGTTCATTTACTTTGTCTCTGTGTTGAGGGCATATTTTATTGTGTTGTTGTAGTGGAGAGTCAGAAGCTAAAGGAACTGCAGACATTAGTCATGATTTAAATGATCACTCCAGTCCCGTAACAATTTAATTGGTCATTGGGCCATTTGGCACGTGCAGGTCTCTGCCCAGCAGCCTGCCTTTTCCAAGCAGCTGTAGACTTGTTTTCAAGCCAAGAGAGAATGTCTGCCCATGCTGAAGTCTTTTGGTTTCATCTGCCTAAATAAACTTGTGTGGCTGATTTTGGCAATTAGAAGGTGAACCTGTATGTGTCCTGGGAGTACTGGGGTGTGGATGTGCTTCTTTCTGATCCCCATGTGGGTACAAAACAGATGATTAAAAAAATCCTCTTTCGGGACACCTCTCGTTTGCTCTGACAAATAAATAAAATCTTTATTTATCAGAGCCAGAGAGAGAGAGAGAGAGTGAGTGAGCAAGAGCAAGCAGAAGCAGGGGGAGTGGCAGGCAGCGAGAGAAACAGACTCCCCGTTGAGCAAAGAGCCCAATGCAGGACTTAATCCCAGGACCCTAAGATCATGACCCAAGCCAAAGTCAGATGCTTAACCGATTGAGCCACCCAGGCATCCCATACATAAAATCTTAAAAAAAAAAAAAAAAAAAAAATTCCCAGGTGCCTGGGTGGCGCAGTTGGTCATGATCCTGCAGTCCGGGGATAGAGTCCCTGCATCTGGCTCCCTGCTCAGCAGAGAGTCTGCTTCTCCCTCTGACCCTCCCTCTTCTGATGCTCTCTTTCTCTCTCTCATGCTCTCTGTCTCTCAAATAAATAAATAAAATCTTGAAAAGAAAAAAATTCCCTTTCAGGTTTCTTATTTACAAACTTTAGCAATTTTCACCATACTTCTAGGAAGTATATGAATAAAGATATAAAATAGAATTTTATTTGGTTATATAGCAGTATATCCAAAGTGTCACCTTTATTGGTAAGAATGATCTGGTTTGTTGCAAAACAAAGAAAAGGAAAACATTGACTCCACAAACTTCTACAACTAACCTCTCAGTTCTTTGCTTCTCTTTAATAACAGAACTCCTCCAAAGTGTCTATATTTGTCTTTAATTCCTCTCCTCCCCTCATTTCTTAGTTTAATTATGGTGGTCAGCCCCTGAGGTGGCCCCATCTCCTGGTATCCATGACCTTGTGTAGTCCCTTCCCCTTCAGTGTGGGCTGGACCTAGTGAATTTCTTCCATTGAATAGGATACAGCAAAAATTAGGGGTTGGCATGTGGCATATGTCATTAGGGAATTGCAAATTAATACAATGAGATGCCATTATATATCTACTGGAATGGCTAAATTTCAGATGGTGATAATACCCAATGTTGGTGAGGATGTAGAACATCAGGAATTCTCCTTCGCTACTGGTGGGAATGCAAAACAGCATAGCCATTTTGGAAGACAGTTTGGCAGCTCCTTACAAAATTAAACATCCTCTTACCACATGATACAATCATGATCCTTGAAAGGAGTTGAAAACTTATGTCCACAAAAACTTTAATATGAATAACTTTATTCCTAATTGCCAAGGCCTGGAAGCAACTGAGATGTCTTTCAACAGATGAATGGATAAATAAATTGTAGGGCATCCAGACAGGATCAGGAGCCTGACATGACCCTCAGTCTTGCAATCCTGAGACCATGACCTGAGCCAAAATCAGGAGTCAGGTGCTCAGCCAACTGAGCCATCCAGATGCCCTGCACTTGGGTTTCTAAAAGGTGTCTTGAAATTAACTTACCTGAAACTCAACTCTTGATATCTCATCCCTCAAAATTGAGTTTCTTACCATTAATCCACTTGAGTACATAGCAATTTTATTCTTCCAGTGCCTATGGCAAAAATCTTGGAGGTGTTCCAGACTCCTCTCTTCTCTTGCACCTTTGTTGATCGATAGCAGATCCCATCATCTCTCCCTTTGTAAATCCCAGATCTGCCCACTTCTCAACTACACAAGTCCAAGCTCCATCATCTCTCTCCTGATTATTTTAACAGCCTTCTAACTGACATTTTGCTTCCATCCCGGCACTTAGAGTCCATTCTCCACACAATGACAGAGAGAACTCTTTAAAACATTAGTAAGATCATGTTGCTCCTCTGCTCAGACCTCTTGAGTGGCTCCTCCTCTCTCTCAGTGTGAAGGCCAGGTTTTTTAATGATCTACAAGACTATCCAGGATGTGGCCTCCATTTTTTCCCCATCCTTCTCCCTGGCAATCTCCCCCTTGTTCACTTGCACAGTTGGGCTGATCTCCCTGCTGCCCCTTGGCCATGCCAGCATTCTCTGCCACACAGCTTAGTGCTTGCTGTTCTCCCGCCTCAAATGCTCTTCCTCCAGGCTTCAGTTTGCCTTCACTGTCTCTTCCTTCTGATTCTGTTCATAAGCCACTTGTCATAGCTGAATTGTGTTCTGCTAAGATCCATGTTGAAGCTCAGATCTCCAGTGTGACTGTATTTGCAGGTAACGTCTTTAGGGAGATAAATGAATTAAATGAAGCCATGAGGATGAGGCCTTAATCCAAAAGGACTAGTGTCCTTATAAGAAGAGGAAAAGTCACCAGATCTCCCTGTCTCCCTCTCTCTCTTTTAAGTCTCCATGAACAGAGGCAAGGCTTTGGGAGGACACACCAAGAAGACATTGTCTATAGCCTTACTGGAAATCAACCCTGATGGCACTTTGATCTTGGACTTTCAAGGACCTTCCAGAACTGTGAGAAAATATATTTCTGTTGTTGAAGTTCCCCAGTCTGTGGTAGGTGGTTATGGTGGTCCTCCCAGTGACTGCACCCCATAGAAGGGAGGCCTTTCCCGACCTGGCAGAGTGCTGCTGCCCCTCCTC